ATCAGTGGTCTTGTATGTCTTCAATTTCCTAATAATTGCTCCCACAGTTGATTTCTTCAAACCAAGCTGCTTACCTATTGCAGATTCAGTCTTCCCAGCCTGGTGCAGGTCTACGATTTTGTTTCTGGTGTCCTTTGACAGCTCTTTGGTCTTGGCCATAGTGGAGTTTGGAGTGTGACTGTTTGAGGTTGTGGACAGGTGTCTTTTATACTGATAACAAGTTCAAACAGGTGCCATTAATACAGGTAACGAGTGGAGGACAGAGGAGCCTCTTAAAGAAGAAGTTACAGGTCTGTGAGAGCCAGAAACCTTGCTTGTTTGTAGGTGACCAAATACTTATTTTCCACCATAATTTGCAAATAAATTCATTAAAAATCCTACAATGTGATTTTCTGGAATTTTTTTCCACAATTTGTCTGTCATAGTTTACGTGTACCTATGATGAAAATTACAGGCCTCTCTCATCTTTTTAAGTGGGAGAACTTGCACAATTGGTGGCTGACTAAATACTTTTTTTCCCCACTGTATATCCATCCTGCACTGCCTTTCGAAAGTATTTGAAAGCCAAGTTAACAAACAGATCACCGACCATTTTGAATCCCACCGTACCTTCTACGCTATGCAATCTGGTTTCCGAGCTGATCATGGGTGCACCTCAGCCACGCTCAAGGTCCTAAATGATATGTGGCATACAGCAGGTCAGCCACCAGGGTGAGACTCGTCGAGGCCTGGTATCAGATGGAGTATACATAACGAGGCGGTGACTCCATCTGCTGGACGTGCCAGGTCTCGACGGGCTCTCCGGACAGGACTAATTGGAGCTGATGAGTAATTAAGGGCGGATTGCTCACCAGCTGTGCAAGGCCCATAAAGCTGCCAGAAGGGCAGCACATGGGAGAGGACTGGGGGAAGTAAGCTAACTTCTGTGTAGTTGGAGACGGTATCCTGGAGAGGGTCTCATGGGGGAGACCCATCCTTTTCTTTTGATTATTTTGTTAATAAACACCCTTGAAACTGAGATAATCATACTCTGTCCGTGTCTGATCTGTGTAAACGTCTTGACCCAACACCCTGATCTGCCACAGATATTATAACCGCGATCGATAAAAGACAGTACTGTGCAGCCGTCTTTATCGACCTGGCCAAGGCTTTCGACTCTGTCAATCACCGCATTCTTATTGGCAGACTAAATAGCCGTGGTTTCTCAAATTACTGCCTCGCCTGGTTCACCAACTACTTCTCAAAGTTCAATGTGTCAAATCGGAGGGCCTGTTGTCTGGACCTCTGGCAGTCTCTATGGGGGTGCCACAGGGTTCAATTCTCGGGCCGACTCTATTCTCTGTTTATATCAATGATGTCGCTCTTGCCGCTGGTGACTCTCAGATCCACCTCTACGCAGACGACACCATTTTGTATACATCTGGCCCTTCATTGGACACTGTGTTAACAAACCTCCAAACAAGCTTCAATGCCATGCAACACTCCTTCCGTAGCCTCCAACTGCTCTTAAACACTAGTAAAACGAAATGCATGCTCTTCAATCGAACGCTGCTTGCACATGCCCGCCCGACTAGAGTCACTACTCTCGGCGGGTCGGACTTAGAATATGTTGTGTTATTGACTGTATGTTTTGTTTATCCCATGTGTAACTCTGTGTTGTTGTTGTTTTTATCGCACTGCTTTGCTTTATCTTGGCCAGGTCGCAGTTGTAAATGAGAACTTGTTCAACTGGCCTACCTGGTTAAATAAAGGTGAAATAAAAATAAAAAGCTAAGTAAGTGAAAGTGAAAAAAATACAACGAATATAGCTAGCTCTCTTGTTCAAAACTGTTCAACTATTGTCTTTCTCTCTGAGTCAACTACTAACCACATTTTATGCACTACAGTGCTAGCTAGCTGTAGCTTATGCTTTCTGTACTAGAAATTCTCTGATCCTTTGATTGGGTGGACAACATGTCAGTTCATGTTGCAAGAGGTCGGATAGGTTGGAGGATGTCCTCCAGAAGTTGTCATAATTACTGTGTAAGTCTATGGAAGGGGGTGAGAACCATGAGCCTCCTAGATTTTATATTTATGTCAATGTACCCAGAGGAGGACGGAAACTAGCTGTACTCCGGCTACACCATGGTGCTACCCCAGAGAGTGCTGTTGAGGCTACTGTAGACCTTCATTGCAAAACAGTGTTTTTTAATTAATTATTTGGTGACGTGAATATATTTAGTATTGTTTTATCTAAAAAGGCTAGCTTTTTAAATGTTTAACTTAAAACATTTCTGAAATTCAGAAATAGGAGGAGGATGGTCCTCCCCTTCCTCCTCTGAGGAGCCTCCACTGGTGTGCGTATGTATGTGTGTGCGTGCATGCTTGTGTGCATGCCTACACACCAAAGCGTAAAAGTATGTTAATGTTAACATAACATTAGTGCTTACGTGACATCACAGCAATATGTGTGGTCCCCTCTGTTGTACAGGAAGGACCCTGTGCTAAAAACAGACGCTGACAGGATGTCCGTCCTCTATTGTGTTCCCTCACTCACCCCACCAACAACAGATCGAATTTCCTCTCCCTGCTTCTTAACCTACTCCAGAAACTCGTTAAACACAAACTTTACCAGGAAATAATGAATTAAGAAAAGCTTCATCATGCAGATGTACAGTGTAACCAACTTATGCTTTTATGGGTAGTGTGAAATGCATTTGCATGATATAGAATTCCTTCCTTCTACTGTAGGTGTGACACTCTCTGCAGATCCGATCCATTATTAAAAGCCTGATAAACATTCTCCTGTGAGGGAGACAATTGTCTGACATTCACAGGGAATGACTGTATAGTGTGTAAAGGCAAGAGATGAGGCAACTGAATGGCAGAGATTGGACTTGTTTTTCCAGTACGAGACAATTACCATATTGGCAGAGGTGCCCAGGGTGATGCAGTGCTGGGGAAACAGAGATGATGATGGCTCTGAACACTGGAGCTGAGACTTTAGTTATAGGACAATCTGAGAAAACCATGATATGGCCATGAAGGACGAGAGCACTGCCAGGACAGGACATCAGAGAGACAGATAGAGACTATAGAGGCACTTTTGATGGAATGATAATGGAAACAGTGGAAAAAATTAAGGTGGAAAGAGCTGAGAAGAGGTTAAAACGAGGTGCAAAAATGTAAATGTGGAGAAGCATCCAGATTGGTCCATTTCTGTTGAAGGTAAACAGACAAAGCGACAAAAATAAATGTTGTGTTTTCTGTTACATAATGCTTTTTGGTCTGAGTACATCATGAGGCTGTGAGGGGAGGTCAGCGATATATTTCACTCCTTTTTATATGTGCCTTCTGCTCTCTGAAACACACACACACACACAAACACTCCCCCGCTCATGCGGAGGCAACCCCCTGGCCAGTGAAACCACCCCTCTGCAGGTCAACTGGCACGACTGAACTCCTTCCAGCCCAATCAGAAAGCCCCAGGCTAGAGGTTCTGTAATGATGGCACCACAACCACAAGGAACTGTGTTCTATTGATTCTGTTGATTCTGTTGACATCATTTCAAGATGTAGAAGGGTGCCACCGTGTCAGTAGGTCACCACAACACTGTGTGTGTGTGTGTGTGTGTGTGTGTGTGTGTGTGTGTGTGTGTGTGTGTGTGTGTGTGTGTGTGTGTGTGTGTGTGTGTGTGTGTGTACGTGTACTATGGGTGTCACATTTGATGTAGAGCCGACAAGTTATTACATTCCTCTAGTAAGGGTGTAGGTGGCGAGAGGGAGAGGGAGATATCTATGTCTCCTTAATATTCTATGCCTTGTAAACATGAATCAACGGGAGAGGAGACAGAAACAGAGAACATGCACACAAATGGTAATTTGCTTTCAAATGTTGTCTCACCTCTGTCTGGGAAAAAGCTCTTCCTCCACTCTAACTTCTCAGAGATCAGTAGCCTACCACAGCACTACCTGTGATAAGCAGCAGGACATTGCTGCTGTATAAGATGATCAACAGATCGCTATCTTAAAGGAAAACAATTACAACAATACAGTATACACTATGATGCTAAATAAGACAGTGAGACAATGGCCAATGGGTCTTTAGGTAGTCTACTAGCCGGCTACCACCCGGTTCCTCAACCCTGCACCTTAGAGGCTGCTGCCCTATGTACATAGACATGGAATCACTGGTCACTTTAATAATGTTTAGATACTGCTTTACTCATCTAATATATCTCATATATACTGTATTCTATTTTACTGTATTTTAGTCAATGCCACTCCGACATTGCTCGTCCTCATATTTATATATTTCTTAATTCCATTCTTTTACTTTTAGATTTGTGTATTGTTGTGAATTGTTAGATATTACTGCACTGTTGAAGCTAGGAACACAAGCATTTCGCTACACCCGCAATAACATCTGCTAAATATGTGTATGTGACCAATAACATTTGATTTGATTTGATTGTTACAGATTGCATCGTTTTCAGAGCGGGTAGGCAAGGAAATGTAAGTCAGGTTTTGCAATACAATTCCTCTGAGAACTTGAATGTAAAGACACATTTAAAATGGAGTGCTTTTGGACTCTCTCTTGTTCAAGAGAAAGGAATTTCAAAGTAGTAGCCTGAGAAGAAGTTGGAGGCACATTTCACACATGACAAACCCCCTCCACTATATAATAATCTAATCTAATAATATGCCATTTAGCAGACGCTTTTATCCAAAGCGACTTACAGTCATGCATGCATAAAAATTTTTTGTGTATGGGTGGTCCCGGGGATCGAACCCACTACCTTGGCGTTACAAGCGCCGTGCTCTACCAGCTGAGCTACAGAGGACCACATATCTGCAGGTAGAGCACCTTATATAGAGAGACATGACACATTATAACCATTGTTGTAATACATTATAAAGGCTTATACATGCTTAAATACGTTAAGTAAGGCTTTAAGTAAAGTGCTACTGTAAGGGTATGTTGGACGTATGCATGGAGAGTGCAGAGTGTAATGGTCACCTGACGTGTCCCAGAGACTGAGCTCTACGCGCTGGTCCTCCAGCTCCAAACAGGCGGTGTAGTTCTCAAATACTGTTGGAACATATGTCTGTGGATGCAGAAAGGAATGGGTTCATTAGTATTACTACAGGGAATTACACTATGTAAATGTAGGATATAGAAATTAGAATACAGTCAACCTGTGAACTAGTGAACCTTGTAATCATCAGTAGGACATTTACATACAGTGTAAATAGTGTTAGTTTTACATATAAAGGTCATCCTAGTTTGTGGCTACTGTGCCACTGCCTACTGTCTGTCTGACCAAATAAGGCATCTGATCATTTTAAAACAAATGCCAACTCCATGATAACAGAGAAAAATGCCAAATCATTTTAAGACCCATGTATTTGAGTATTTTAAGAAATAGGAAATAATTGTTTCCTATCAATTATACACTTAGGATGTTAAGTCTTATCTTGGGATAAAGCATTATGTAAGAATTAAGCAATAAATCATCTGTGTCTTGACACTTGACTTGAGTTCTATCATAAATCTAACACAATTTAGCAATGCAGTTATTAGTGAAAATGAAAGTTAAGGGTATTAGAAAATATAAACTTGACACATTCTCTTTGTCTTTATCATCTAATTATCATCTCTTTATAGCCTATGTATGTAGAATATTCCAGTAGGCCTATGCCTTTAGGTTTTGTGTGTAATCCAATCAAATGTGGCAGGTAGAAATCGCATACCTCAGGATAGGAATCCTTGGCCAGGACTTGCAACATTGCGGTTTTCCCGCATTGAACGTCCCCAACCAACACCAGTTTACATCTCTCCACCAGAGGCTGGGTAAGTCTCCTTTCCTTCATTGTGAATAAGATTTGGTTGATGAATACAATAAATGTATATGTGAAAGAAAAACAACTCCTTTGTAAATCCTCTGTCAGTTATCAGTGCGTTGCGCCGTGATGCTCTCCTCCTGCGATGAAGCTTGCTGCCAGCAGTATGTGCTGAGGTATGACACTGCGGAACTTTTTATTGTCGCGACAGCCAATGAGCGTTCTGCTGATGGTTCGTGTGATATTAGAGAGAGGGGGGAAACATGTCTACAGGTTATTTAATGTTCTATTGTTAAATGTGTGTCATCATACAGTAGGCCTACTGAATGATTACAACAGCACTTTTATAATTATTTATTAGAATGATATTTATGGCTACATTTAATCCTTCAAATATCACAGTAATGTCAGTCAATGCCTACTAGGTCGATCAAATGTGTGTCTCTCTCTCGACCTGTTGGACAGAGAAGCAATGAGTGAGCACGAAATCAGAGTGCAGGTTGTGGCATTATGGTGTTGCATAAGGGACTAATCGAAATGTATGTTGTTTTCTTTGCTTTGGGGAGGGTTGTGTGGTTTTTTATTGGGCACTGGAGGGTAACGCGTTTTTTCCCTGGTTTACATTCACTGTTCTGCTCTTATTTTCCCTATAAACAATGGCTTTACTTACTTTTAATATTACCCTAATAAAGTTTAGAAATGTTTGTGAAGTTTTGGTATTGTGTGGCTATTATTAAGCTTTAGCTACTGCAGGCCTATGATATGAAGGCAGTGCACCCCAGCGCTCCAACTGACTCCTACAGCTGAACTTGAGGTGAGGAAGTTTGTTTCAGGCATACCAGAGTTACTCCTATAATCTAACAATATAATGCTTATCTTTATACAAAATATTCTGATCGAAAATTAACAAATGAGCCTCCCTCTGTACGTCTATATTTGTATAGCAGGCGCAGTAGCCATCTGACATAAATAAGTGCATGTCGGTGTCGTAGCATGCCACGGGCATACCCCTCTCTCTATCTCTCTGGGTTAGGCCTAAAGGCGTTAGCATGCTTCAGTTTGGCTGTGTGCTCGCATGCTCCCTAAAAAGACGTTCGCTTGAAAAGCTGAAAAAAAAGGGGGAAAGCGGCAGGCGATGAGCTGGTAATAGCCATCTACGGCCAGATACGGAAGTGACGACACACCCAAGCAAGGAAGAGACGCATGGGAGAATAAACTAGTGTACACAGAGAGACACTTGACTGGAGGACGGAAGATGGCGGAAACTGAGGTTTTGTTTGAAACTGCTAGTGAGTCGAGTGAAGCTAATAGTACAGAAAGTGAGAAGGAGTGGGTTACCATGGTGAAGAAAAAGGGAAACGAGAAGTAAAGCTATATTGGAAAATAGGAAACCACTAGGTTTTGGATCAATGCTACTTGGGAAATCCGTTTAACATCTCCAGGAAAATCTGGAATGTGTTGGAGGAAGGTGTGGAGTCGGTGAGAGTCACAAGACATGGTCTTATTTAGATTTTTTATGTGTATGCGGAGCAGAAGAAGCGTGTTTTAAGACTCAAAAACATATCGGAGTGGAATGTTTCCTACATGGATTTTTGTAGCAGGGCGCCTATCAAGGGGGTTATTTCTGGGGTGGCGCAAGAAGTAAAGGCAGAGGATATAACTGAAGACATCGATGCAGTGGTTGGTGCACGTCAACTGACCTGTATGGTGGACGGAGAAAATAAATTAACTTCATCCATGCTACTGTTCTTTGATGAAGAGTCTCTCCCTTCTCATATAAAGTTAGGATTCATCAGATACCCTGTAAGAGCTTTTGTGCATAAGCCCCTTCAATGTCATGAATGTAAAAGCTTTGGTAATGTGTCAAGTGTGTGCAGAAGGGAAGAATATTCTATGCCAGATGAAGGGAAATGTTGCAGCTGTGAGGTGAACATGCGCCTGAATTCTTGGAGTGTCCTGCTAGGGTGATGGAGAATGAGGTGGCAAGGGTAAGGAGTGTCCAGCATGTCTCCTATCTGGAGGCGGTGAGAAAATTGGTAGGAAACGAGTGGCGGGGAAGAAGCAATGGTAGTAGAGTCACCACGACCAGTGACGCTTTCTCATCAACCGAGGGATAGTGAAATGCTACATGTTAAAAAGGTGGACTTTGTATTATTTATTGCAATGGTCATAAACTATACCGCACAAGCGAGAAGAAGTCTAAGAAAATTGGAATCATTGTGAATGCCGCTGAACATATTTTGGGTTTTCGCGATTTCACAGCCGAGGCCGTGCAAGAAATCCTGTCGGTGAATAGGCCCCTGAGCTTGTGTAGGGATGTATTTTGGAGTGGACTGTGATTGGAGAAGTGTGATGGGTTTTCTTAGTTGGCGTGTTTTATTTAGTATGATGTCTTTCCCCCTTTCCCAAAATGTTTTTTTTGTTTGTTTATTATTCAATACCCCGTCCTGCTGGTGGCGATAATGCACCATTAATATTGGATGCCAACTGCCATTAAACCCCATCGAAGAAGAAGAAGACACTTGACTGCCGAGAAATGTAATTTGTGCGAATTGCCCGGGATCTACTAGATTTGATGTACCTAGCAACACATATAATAGGCGAGATACAGAAACAGAGAAGATGCCCGCTACAGATTCACAATGGTGGATGTAGGGGCATACGGCCGAGAGAGCTATGGTGGAGTGTTTCAAGATAGTTATTTTGGGTCCAAACTGCTGCAGAAGACCCTCGATTTATAATAATAATATAATATGCCATTTAGCAGACGCTTTTATCCAAAGCGACTTACAGTCATGTGTGCATACATTTTTACGTATGGGTGGTCCCGGGGATCGAACCCACTACCCTGGCGTTACAAGCGCCATGCTCTACCAGCTGAGCTACAGAGGACCAGCTGTCCTGCCAGGTACCACAACACCAAGTCCTCATGTTTTCCTGGGAGATGCAGCTTTGCCTCTACGTCAGAACCTCATGCGCCCTTATCCAGGTATGTTGATAATAGAATGTTGGAATCAATTTCACTTTGTCTGTTTCTAATTTCCCTTGTTACTGCACACTATAAATGTATGCACCTCTATATCAGAAGTTTCATTTTATCAAGGCTTTTGGAATATGGTATGGTGTTTTTTTTGTTTACCAAATATATATGTGACATATTCTTGGTACCTCTCATTCACCTGTGTCCATCTCAATAAACCTGGAAATACATACATACTTCATTTAGCAGACGCTCTTATCCAGAGCGACTTACAGGAGCAATTAGGGTTAAGTGCCTTGCTCAAGGGCACAGACAGATTTTTCACCTAGTCGGCTCGGGGATTAGAACCAGCAACCTTTCGGTTACTGGCACAACGCTCTTAACCACTAAGCTACCTGCCACCCATTGAAATACCTTGAAGAAATGCCAACAGAGCTTTTTCAGCACACAAATAAACCTTTATTCTTGCTTCTGAATGTAAACCACAATACAAAAGTGACTGCTGAGAACAGACATGTAAACAACAAAAGGGTCAAATATAAAGTGTCGAGTGTAGATACAAATATTTATGAGCAATATAAATATTTCAGAATAATAGTAAAACAGTGTCTGTTATGTAGATAACAAAAGTGTCTATGGAATAAAATGTAAGTGTCTAGTGTCTGACTCCTGAGATGTCTGAACAACAGAACAAGATGTTAATGTCACTGTGGTCCCAGTCGTTCGGTCCATGTCCTCTTCTTGAAGTCATGCACAAACTCATGCAGCTGGTGATCGAATTCCTCCCAGAGTTTTGGCGAGAGTTCATCCATGGAATCAGATATAGGTGCCAGGGCCCTGTGGAGAGGAGGAGAAGAGGGGGACATTAGGAGTGTCTGGAGAGCAGTGCATGGTGAGGAGAGGAGGAGAAGAGGGGGACATTAGGAGTGTCTGGAGAGCAGTGCTTGGTGAGGAGAGGAGGAGAAGAGAGGGACATTAGGAGTGTCTGGAGAGCAGTGCATGGTGAGGAGAGGAAGAGAAGAGGGGGACATTAGGAGTGTCTGGAGAGCAGTGCATGGTGAGGAGAGGAGGAGAAGAGGGGGACATTAGGAGTGTCTGGAGAGCAGTGCATGGTGAAGAGAGGAGGAGAAGAGGGGGACATTAGGAGTGTCTGGAGAGCAGTGCATGGTGAAGAGAGGAGGAGAAGAGGGGGACATTAGGAGTGTCTGGAGAGCAGTGCATGGTGAGGAGAGGAGGAGAAGAGGGGGACATTAGGAGTGTCTGGAGAGCAGTGCATGGTGAGGAGAGGAGGAGAAGAGAGGGATATTAGGAGTGTCTGGAGAGCAGTGCATGGTGAAGAGAGGAGGAGAAGAGGGGGACATTAGGAGTGTCTGGAGAGCAGTGCATGGTGAGGAGAGGAGGAGAAGAGGGGGACATTAGGAGTGTCTGGAGAGCAGTGCATGGTGAGGAGAAGAGGGGGACATTAGGAGTGTCTGGAGAGCAGTGCATGGTGAGGAGAGGAGGAGAAGAGGGGGACATTAGGAGTGTCTGGAGAGCAGTGCATGGTGAGGAGAAGAGGGGGACATTAGGAGTGTCTGGAGAGCAGTGCATGGTGAGGAGGAGGAGAAGAGGGGGACATTAGGAGTGTCTGGAGAGCAGTGCATGGTGAGGAGAGGAGGAGAAGAGGGGGACATTAGGAGTGTCTGGAGAGCAGTGCATGGTGAGGAGAAGAGGGGGACATTAGGAGTGTCTGGAGAGCAGTGCATGGTGAGGAGAGGAGTAAAAAGGACAACAGAAGAGAGGAAAGGGGATCAGAGTAAAGTCTGAAATTATCTTTATTTACCTCTGAGACAAACTGGTGGCTCGGTGCATGACGTTCTCAAATCTTGAGATATGTCTTCAATCATTTGCAATGTCTTTGCCAGTGATGTATCAAGGACTGAGTCTGCAGCTCTTTTCTCCCTTCTTCTCACCCCCCTGCTACTACTGCTGCTGCTCTGTGGCATCGCTGAGGAGAAAGCCAGTGGAGTAGGTCTTGGAGGTGGGCCCAGGATAGAGCTTCCCAGGTCCT